ACTTGTTCTTGTAGTAATCAGTCAGACTACCATTATTGTTTTGGATTTTTCTTGCTGGTCTTTCTTTATGAAGTATCTTCTGTTCTTCTAGCTGCTCCAGGCTGGTCTACTCGACCTTTCCAGTGGAAATTTCCCACCTCAGATAATTCTGGATGGGGCCCAGGTTTCCACCTATAGTCTTATGCAATGCACAAGCTCCGCAGGAGATCTCTATCACTGGGTAACTTCTAGCCCCCTTTAAGGTATTCCAATCAGTTATAGGCTGAAGACGGGCTTACAAGCTTTCTATTGTGATGTTTCTGGCTATTCCCCCCCCCCAAGTGTCGATTTTACACAATGGTAGGCAAGGGAAACCAAGATTCAAAAGACAGCCAAGCATCTGAACATTATTTCCCTTTAACGCATTCAAACCATGCCTCAATCCCTGTATCCCGGAGCCCTGTTGTTCCAAAATTGTGTGTACATCATAATTTACCTCTGTCCCACTTAGTCCATGGGAACCTGTCTAACTGTTCTCCCATCTGCCTTGTTCTTCCATTTCCCTCCTCCTTCTTTTGTATTGCCCGCAACCCCCACCTCCAAGCACCCCAAGCTTACCTGTGTCTATTCCCTACTCTATGCTTTATCTTCCCCTCCCTTCCTCCCCTCCTCTCATGGCATACATCCCAGCGATCAACAATTTTATATATAACCCCCCCCCCTTTTGGGTGAGTTATTTTTCTTAGTCTTTTACCTGCTTACAGTTTTCTGATAAGTATTTCCTCTTAAATTATATTAAAAAATCATATCACCTACCAGAGTATACCAGTTATCTTTCTCCTCTTCTATCTTAGATGCTAACATATTCACTACTGTGATATTCACTACTGTGGTAAAGTGGATTTACTTGATATGGCTCTTCCTAACTCCGGGAGTATAGTGGTTACGAATCAGGCTGCTAACCTGAGGGTCAGCAGTTTGAAACTACCAGCTGTTTTGCGGTAGAAAGATGAGGCTTTCTGCTCCTGTAAAGATTTACAGCCTCGGAAACCCTGTACAGGGTCACTATGAGTCGGAACCGACTCCACAGCACATAACAACAACACTCACCAAATGATTGGGCTGGACTAAGCAAACAGGGTTACAGCACTCTAACTCAGGGATTGGTTGTTTTTGGATTTCTACTCTGTTTTAAAAAAGCTATCTCAGGACCACTTGGATAATGGCTACCCAAAATGGGGGGGCGTGGGGAGCGGGGTGTTGCTACAAAGGCAAGAAGTGACTGGATTACAAGCTTTCAAGAGGGAGCCTAGATCCAGAGGGCGCGGAGGAAGGTAGACTCTCCAGTGAGTAGTATCCAGTCTGTTTGGGTGGGTGATGAAAGGAGATGGGGATAGGTCTGTTGTGATGCAGTAGTGAATAACTGCTTATCAGGACTGACTGTGAGGGTTGGAAATGTAAAGGTAGATGTTTTGTAGCAAAAGGAGTGGAATGACTGACTTTGCAGTCTAGGAGCAGAGGTCCCTGGAACCATCAAGAGAGAAGGGCCAAGAACAGGACAGAGATGGAGTGGCTGGGGGCTTTAGACACAGAGAGGGACGGGGACTGTGTGCTGATGACTAGGGGGCAGGCTTGCAGGGTGTACTCTTTGTATGGTTGATGATGCATGGAGGGAAATGTAACCATGGCAATGAAATGATATACGATAGGAAGAATGTAAAGCTAATGTTCTCCCATGTAAACTATCACATAATTCACAATAAAACATTTTTTAAAAAAGCAATGTCAGAAACAGGAACAAACTATCCCAAGCCCACTAACAGAGAACCATGAGGAGAACGTGAAATCTGCTGCACAGAAAAAGCACAGCTAGAAAGCGGGAAGCCCAAGGAGTGAGTATAGAAAGCTGATTGCGTTTGGCTTGCAGATTCGACCCTTTAGGCCTTCATTTGTCTGTAGCGCAAAGTGGAGTGCTATAACTTGCCCAAGCACAGTGCTGGTGGAAAGGCCAAGGACAGAGTAGCTGAGAGACCAAGGTCGAGAGAGACCCTGCCTTGGCACAGCTGAGGAAAGGCAGCACTCTTTTCCTTTCAACTTTTTATTGCAAATTGAGTGATAGATTGCATACTCTGGTAGGTGATATGATTTTTTAATATAATTTAAGAGGAAATACTTATCAGAAAACTGTAAGCAGTTTTGGTTATAACTTTTGGTTATAAATGTGATCAACAAACTTGAACTATTTATTATTAAGCCACAAATTTGTAACAGACTATCTAATGGAAGGAGCCCTTGTGTGGCTCAGTAGGATAAGCACTTGATCTCAAGGTTGGTTTGAAGTGCAAGGTTGGTGATTCAAACTCACTAATTGCTCCTAGGAAACCCAATACAGGATTGCTGTAAGTCAGAACCGATTTGGCGACACTTAATAACAATCTAATGGAAAGTTCATTCTTTAACATTACTATATTTCATGTTTTGAGTTAGTTAGACTGCCCTTGAAGTATATGTTTGTATTAGCCACAGTTTTCAAGTCTTTATTATGTGCTATTTCATGTTTTGTAGGATTGGGTGTTTTAATACATGTGAAATTAAAGCTGTCTGCAAAGTCTTGCATTTGAGATATTGCTGTCTTAAGATCTTATTGATTGGCACTTAACAGTTCTGATTTAATGAGTGGAATGTAATTTTGGGTTTTGCTATTTTAAAACCCTTTCTATTTTAACTTTTTGGAAATGTGTGACTAGTAAAACATTTTATATGTGTGATTATTGAAATGTGTTTCACAGATTTTTAAAAAATGTATTCTTTTTGTTGAGACTGTCCACAATAAAGCATAACAAATTCAGCAGTTTATCCATGTACAATTCAGGGACATTGATGACAGCTTTAGGGCTGTGTAAGCATATTCACCCCACTTTTTGAGTTGTTCCTCCCTTATTAACATAAACTCCCTGCCTGGACTACTCCTACTCCCCACAAGATTCCTGTCTAGTTTTTCAAGGGGAACTATCCTGGATCAGACCTATATTTTGTGAATATAGACTTGATCCAGAATAGATAATTCTTTAAAAATCATAATGTTCAAGATAAGCATTTTTGCTAATTAAAGTTGTTTGGCTTTATGATGACTTCAGGGGATACTTATTGTTTAAAATTGAAAGTTTATCTCTGGGCAAACCTGAGATTCATGTACCTTACATGGCCTCACATAGATATTTAATATTTTGAGTTTTGAAAAATAGGCATTTATAACTTACATCAAAGCTTCTAAAAAAGAAAACAATTCTTAAAAGTTTGACTGCAATTTTATGCTCTTAGAGTAATAAACTGTTTTTCCTTTGAAATCTTACAAAACCAATGCTTTTGTTTTCATTCTGAAAATTAAAATGAAACACAGTTTGGTCTCAGTCCTGTACATCTGCCAGTCAGACCTGTTTTATTTTCTGGTGATTTGATTTTCTTGGTCAGATAACCTGCCCGCTGATAATCAGTGGTGGTAGTATGTGCATATGAGGTGGACTCAGAGTAGCCTGCAGATCATGCTGTCCTTTACATCATGGATGGCGGAAATGTGTGTCTATCAGTTAACTGGAATAACTTTTCACCAGTGGTGTTTTAAATCTTTGTAGAAACGTAATTATTTGTTTTGAACTGTGCTCTAACTGGATGCTTTTCTTTGTATTTTTGTCCTCTCTAGTTCTCAGGGTATCACAATTAGTCTTAATACTACATCTGGCATGGTACCATCATTTGAACTTTCTGACAACACTAATGACCAATCTGGAGAACAGGAATCTGAATATGAACAAGGAGAGGATGAAATAGTGTATCACAAATCTGATGGCTCTGAATTGTATTCTCAAGCATATACAGAAGAAGGACAATATGAAGGCCACGATGCGGAATTGACAGAAGATCAAATAGAATATGGGGAAGAGCCAGAGGAGGAACAACTTTACAATGATGAAGTGTTAGACATCGAAATCAATGAACCATTAGATGAATTTACAGTGAGTCTTTTTTCCTTTGTATAGCTAAAGATAACATTGCTACACGTCTATAGGAGTTTGAGACTGATTTTAAATCTATTTACCTCCCTAGGGAGGGTGGGAAATTAGACCTTATTATCACTGTCTGCCAGTTTCTTTATCGGAGCTATGACAAAGTTTGTGTTGACAGCTTGTTTGGCCTGAGGTATTGCTCCTTTGTCATTCTGGAAGGCTGCACAGAATTGTGACCTTGAGTATTGCACCCTTAAGGAAGAAAACAGCTTTGTGTGGTGGAGATACACTGTCAATTGTTAGAAGTACTTAATGCAGAAGCTTTTATCCAGGCTTTAGACAAGATCTGATAAAGTCCTTCTAAGGTGAAAAGATTATTGACCTGCTAAAGACATCTTCAAGGTGCTAATATTTCAATGTGATTGATGTCCCTTTCATTCATCCTTTTTGTAACTGAGAATTGTCTAAACTTGAATAAAGAGATTGGAGATTAGTTTAGGAAATGTCACACATAATTTGTTATATATCTAATCAGGAAGCTAAGATTGTGCTGATTTTTATTTTGGGAAGATGATACTGGTTGGTAATTTTTAAGTTGAAATGTCAGATAAAAATATTAGTGAAAGTTTGCTCATCTGTCTTAACTGATTCATCACTAAAAGAGAATTGCTTTTTAAAATAAGTCATGATATGTGTGTATGTGGGGGGGAAGGAAGTGATCACAGTAGCTGCGTGTTATTGTTGTGAAGTGCTGTTGAGTCGGTTCCGACCCATTGCGACCCTATGTAGGGTTTCCAAGGAGCAGCTGGTGAGCTTGAACCACCAACCTTGCAGTTCAAACGGCTTTGCAGTCTGGTACATTAACCCACAGCGCCACACCAGGACCCCTAGGTCTTTCAGAAATGCTAGGGATCTACTGCAATATGGTGCACAGGGAGGGCTTAGATGGTGTTGGAAAGGCGGAGAGTTTAGAGACCTGAAAAAGCCAATTCTTGGTGGGAATAGCTGTTTTTCTGTTTAATACTTCATTCAGAGTACGGAAAGTGAAAAAATTTGCTAAATTTTGATTATTGCTACATGAAGGGGCTTGAAAAATTCATGGGAAAATCCCATTATCTTTAAATTCTATTTTTACATGAATTTTTTGAAGCTCTTTATCATATATAGGAGTATTTTCTAAAGCGATTGTTTAAGTAGATGCTTAGAATAGTTAATTCTAGGCATGATTGTTTTTAAGTCTTTCAATAGTGATTTTGATTGTTTTTTTGCTTGCTTATCAGCATGTTCTTCTTGTTAAGTGCTATCAAGTAGGTCCCATCTCATAAATACCCTATGTTAGGATTTTTCAGGAGCAGCTGTGGCTTTGAACCTCTGACCTTGAGGTTAGCAGTCCAGTATTCAGTAATGAAAAGAAATACTTGTAAATTTGATTTTGGTGAATTGAATGATGTATAAAACATCTTGGACTTGCTATTTAAATAGCTTTTATAATAAACTAAAACAAGCACACAAAAAACTTTCCTGGTATGGATTTAATTTATTTTGGTATATTTGTTATGTTTAAAGTTGTTAAGTGCCGTCCAGTCTGTTCCAACCCATGGTGACTCTGTATTAGGGGTTCCATGGAGTGGCTGGTGAGCTTGAACCACCTATCTTTGGTTCAAACGACTTTTTAGTCTAGCGCGTTAACCCACAGCACAGTATAATTTTAAATGTTTTTTCAGAATTACACATCTTTGGAAAATATTTTTAGTTATTCTCCAGTTGTATAGTTCTTTTATTTCTCGTAGATGGCAGTAAAATAAGATGATCAATTCAATGATTCCGGGGATCCTTTCTACTTGTAAATTCAATAGTTCATATCGCTGCTGATTTCCAAGCACTGGGAGCACAGATATTGAGAAAGCTTGAAACATGGTCTCTCCCCTAGGTGCACTTAGAATTTAGTGGGACAGATCACTGTGTGGAAGCACCTGATAAGCTAGTGAGCACTGCTAAATAAGAGGGAGCTGTCACCGCTACATTCTAGTAAAGCTTGTCATAAAGATATTTTATGTTGTTGTGTGCCATTGAGTCGGTTCCAACCCATAGTGGCCCTGTATAACAGGGTTTCCGAGGAGTGGCTGGTGAGCTTGAACTGCCAACCTTGCATTTCAAACTAACTTTGCTGTACAGTGCATTAACCACAGTTTTAGTTTATTGTATTTCACTGTCAAACTTGAGGTTATATTTAGGTTCCAAGTTGTCATCAAATCAGGTTGAATTATTCAAAATCATGTATAAAAGCAAAAACAAGTGAAAATTTAATATACTTGGAGTACTCTTCTATAATAGAAGAGTTAAATATTTAGTTGGCGATTATGAAAGTGTTTACGTATTTGTAGAGAGCTGTAAATTTGAAAGGTGAGATGTATTTGTCTTTTTTATAAGCAGTAGTGTAGTGGTTATCGGGCTGCTAACCTTAAGGTCGGCAGTTCGAAACTACCAGCCGTTCCACGGGAAAAAGATGAGGCTTTCTGCTCCAGTAAAGATTTACAGCCTCAGAAACTCATAGTGTAGGGTCACTATGAGTCGGAATCGACTCTACGGTACTTAACAACAATAACTATCAGCTTTACCTTACTATGTCTAGCTTTATAACTATTGCCATTCTTTTCTTTTATTCTTAGTTCTTTAAAATTATTGGTTTATTTTCTGTTATCACAGTGGTAACATCTGGAATTCACCTCTTTTTTGGATGGGAGGAGATACAGAATCAGATTGTAAAATATTCATCTCTTGCTCTGCAGTGGATGCCTCTCATTGTCTTCTGAGGCTGGGCTATATCCATGAACAAATTATTCATTATTGTACTAATGAACACATTAGTAGAATTTTTTTTCTATTTATATTCCAATGATAATTTAGTTTATTAAATGGTTTATTTAGCTATGGTTCTTTTTAGTATTTGTTAAAGCTCTGGTAGCGTAGTGGTTACGAATCTGGCTGCAAACTGCAAGGTCAGCATTTCGAAACTACCAGCTGTTCTGAGGGAGAAATATGAGGCTTTCTGCTCCCATAAAAATTTACAGCCTTGGAAACCCTGTACGGGGTCATTGTGAGTCGGAATTGACTCCATGGCACATAACAACAAGAACAACTCTTCAAACCAGAGTTGAACTTTATGAAGCATTGATCATGAGCACTTTCTATTAGCGTTCACTGGTCGTATTACACACAGGGACTTTTGCAGGCAACTGGAAGTAGAACCATGAAACTACAGGACTTTACCAGGGTTCTTTTTGGTGTACAGCTGTAAGGTTCTTTTCTATGATGCTAAAACATAAGAAAATTTTTAAGTTTTGTCAGTTTTGCTGATGCTGTTCTTAAGAGTGAATTGTGATTTGGTTTAAAAACCTTTGCTCTTATGTTAGTTATTCAACAAAATACTTGAAAATTATCTCATGGGTGATTTATAGTCGTTTATAGGGCAGTCTGTTTATTTAGGGCCTTGAAAATTAAAATGAGATTTCATAAAACAGTGTTCTGTGAAAACAATTTCAACTTTCAGTTTATATGTATAGGATACCAGATTTTTGTTTCTTAGTGAGAATTAGCATGGTATAATTAACAAAGTATACTATACTTTGTTGTAAATTGGCTGAAATTTTTGATTAGCTTTGTCTGGCCTTATTTGAAGTCAGTTTGTTCTACCAGTGAATTATGGGTATGGATAGTTGCTCTTTTTAATAGGATGCTAGCAGTTTCTTCTGGAAAGTAAAGTGCAGTGTGTTCAGAGAATCTGAGAGAGAGCTGCATGAAATCAAATGCTTTTTAACCTTAAGTATATCTGTTTTTCTTTGGGGATTGCTGAGGATGCTGTTGTATACTATAGAGTATTCACTTTTCTTAAATGGTTTCTTCTTTGTTGACTGCCTTACAGTGATTTAATTCTTCATTTTAGCAAAGGGCACTCTCCACTGAGTGAGAAAGGGAGAATGGAAAAAAATCTGACATAGTTGCTAGTTAGCAGTTCCAAAGGAAGCCCATTTTTCTTTTGCAATTGTGATAGTTTCCAACCAACCTGCCTGCTGTTTTCTGTACACCATATAGGGGGATGCCAGTGCATGATTCGCTTCTTTCATTTTATATACAACCTGGAATCAGCTCTCTCATTCAAGGGAGAAATCTAATGGAGAAATTAATACTAACGTGGCTTTTGAATTGCCCATAATTGTGTTGTTTTTTATTGTATTAAAAGGTGTGAATGTTGGGTATCATTTCAGCCTCCTTAATGCTGAGTTCTTTTATCATAGTGCATGTATAAGTGCATGTACAATTTCTTTTTAAGATTCACCTTGTTCTTCTATTACTTTTAAGAAGAGCTATTTAACAGGACATCCTTGCATTTTCAGTAGAATCCCTTGTCACTAACATTAGCACTGGATTAGCATAATGTGCTTTGTTCTCATTAATACGTAGAGGAAGTTACATTCTATTTTTGTGCCGCTCTGAGCTCAGTCAGGTAATTGTCATAGTAAAATTTGCTAAAATAATTAAGCATGAGTCATAAAGATGAAAAGTGCTTTAAAAAACAGAACAAACAAAAACAAACAAAAAAACCCCAAAACCCAAACGATGTATGAGAAAAACTTGTTTTCTCTTTAATGGCTGTTAGGATGAAGAATACTTGCAGGCTTATGGTGGGCAACAAGGGATGCAAAAGCAGGAAGACTATGTTGCTGAAGATAAATTAGATGAGATTACTGATTCCCAGGTTGCTCCTGAAACTGAAGAGGTACTTGTTAATCTTTTAAAAAGAGTCCGAAAGTTGCTGTTTGTTTTCCTTTCTTCCAGATTTAAAATTAGCATCTACTTAGCTCTTGTGAAAAGTTGATATACATCTCTTCTTAGAACTACTGAGTGTAGCTTTCTAGACTCTTTGGGGAGTGAGTACTGATGAGCTGTGTTTTCCGGATCGCTGTTTGCCCTTTAAGGGTTACCACATACACTGTTTGAAATGTTTTGTGGGGATGGGGACAGATATCTTTGATAAATGGTTTGTATACATTACTGCTTTGATTGGAGTGCTATAATTGCTTTTAATCTTTCCTTATAAAGTAAGAATTATTGTGAATGTTAGTTAATTTTGATCATTACTCAAAAATACTACTTGATTCCCTGTGTTTAGGTAGTAAAGAAACAAGGGTGGATCAAGCTTGATTCATGCACTCAAAAGAACTAATAAAGGGAGAGAAGACAAGTGTAAATACCTTTCACATAAGTTAAAAAAAGCAAAATCTCCCATAAGTGGCTCAGATAGAGTGCTTTACGTGTTCTCAGAAAGATCACTTGGGCTGGCTGTGTACCTGAGTGAGTTGGAGAAAAGGGGTCTGGACCCATCGAGGCTCTTTAGGTTTTGAAAATGGGTGTAGTTGTAGTATTAGAGGTTATAGTGGCACAGGGCTAAATCGATTCTGTTGTGTAACCTTAAAACACGCTCCTGTGGACCAAGCATGAAAGCTAGAAATCCATCCCACCACCTTATGACTTTATTTAACACAATTTTTATTAATATTTATTCTCATTTATTTTAATCCTTTTTCCTGCTTTTAAATAGTGCTCTTAAGAACTGCTGTTTCATGTGCTTATTATTAGCTCATTTATTTCAATTATTACTCCAAATCTGTTGAAACAGTTTACAAAACATTTTGTTTACCATTTCTCTTTGATAATATAATTTTGTTGTTATTAAGTTCCATGGAGTTGGTTTTGACTCATAGTGAGTAATGCTATGTTCAACAGAATGGAGCCCTGCCCTGCCTAGTCCTGTGCCGTCTTCACAAGCACTCCTGTGTGTGAGCCCATTGTTGCAGCCATGGTGTCAATCCATCTTGTGAGGGTCTTTCTCTTTAGTGCTGATGTCCTTCTCTAGGGACTGGGTCTTCCTGATAATATGTCCGAAGTATGTGAGACAAAGTTTTGCTGTCCTTGTTTTAAGGAGCATTTTGGCTGTACTTCTTTTAAGATAAGATTTGTTTCATTCTTTTAGCAGTCCATGATATATTTAATATTCTTCACCAACACCATAATATAAAAGCACCGGTTATTCTTTGGTCTTTCTTATTAATTGTCCAGCTTTCACATGCATATAAAGAAATTGAAAATACCATGGCTTTGGGTCAGGTACACATTAATCTTCAAAGTGACATTTTTGGTTTTAAACATTTCAGAGAGGTCTTTTGCTGCAGATTTGCCTAATGTAGTATATTATTTGATTTCCTAACTGCTGCTTCCATGGGCATTGGTTATGAATCCAAATAAAATGAAATTCGTGACTTCATTCTTTTCTTCATTTGTCATGAAATTGCTTAGTGTTCCAGTTATGAGGATTAAAAAATAAATACATGTATTGCGGTTTAATCCTTAGTGTTGTTGTTAAGTGCTGTCAAATCGGTTACTATCCATAGTGACCCTGCATAGAGTTTCCAAGGAACTGCTGGTGAGTTTGAACCTCTGAGCTTGCATTTCAAACCAGTCTTGTGGTCCATTGCTTATTCTACCATGCCACACCAGGACTCTGACTAGGAAATAATAAAATTTGGGTTCTGTATGTTGTTGTTGTTGTTGTTGTTAAGTGCCGTCAAGTCGGTTCCGACCTGGTTCAGAAACACCCTGTGTAGGGTTTCCTAGGAGCAGCTGGTGAGCTTGAACACCGACTTTGCAGTTCAAATGGCTTGGGTTCTACATAGTTGGTTGATATTTCTGTTTGCACACGTAGAAACCTGCCCAAACTTGATCTTTTTATTTAATTTGACCTTTTAAATTGTATTTGACATTTTCAAATAAATATTGAGTCTGTAAATGACTTAATTCCCTTAAAATATAAAGCAAAGATGTTGATACAATTCTCACAGTTGTTAAGTATTCCCCTTGTTTTTGTATTACTATCTTTTTATTAATTTCACATCATTTTGATTAGTCTGTGGTACTTTAAAGTTGGAAACTTAATATCAATGATTTGCCCCCCTAGAATTTATCTTTTCCTTTGTTTAGTTAATATTGATATATCTCCTTACTCTTTTCTAATACTGTATTGTTTTTGTAGCACTATTCAGAATGTGGAAATGTATTTTAGATTTTCTTCTTAAAATCTGTGAGATATAAACTCATCTTGTAAAGCAGCTAAAGAATCAGAATGTTAAAATGTGTTAACATTGTGTATGTACTTGATGGAAGTGACTAAAAGTATTGCTTGTAGATAGAAACATTTCAAACTTTTAATTACTGAACTGTTTATTAAAAATGGATTCCAGGTGTGATGCTATAGGATAAGTGCTGGACTGCAAACCACAAGGTTGGCAGTACAAACCCACCAGCTGATCCTTAGAAACCCTATACCTGGTTGCTGTGAGTCGAAACCAACTCGACGGCACTTAACAACAGCAATGTTCATTAAAATATTAAAATAAAAGAGGGTTATTATTTTAAAATGAGAATCGTGGCTACCATTTTCAGTGTCTTCAGAGGCAAATACTGTGGGATGCCTGGGATTAGTTCACATTGGTTGTTGTTGTTAAGTGCTGTTGAATTGATTCTGATTCGTAGTGACTGTATAGGGTTACTGAGGAGAGACTGGTGAGCTTGAACCACCAACCTTGCAGCCCAGTGCATGAACTCACAGTGCCACACCAGGACTCCAGTTTCACATTAATTTTGGTTAGCTATCTATTTGTTAAACCAGTAAAGAATAAATATAAGAAGATTAAGCCATTGGGATGTTTTAGTCAAATAACAGAAATGGGATTTAGGATATTTGTGAATTTGTAATTTGTTCCATATATAGACTCTTAGAACTGACGTAGTTAAGTGCTATGAAGTTGGTTTTGACTCATAGCGACCCTGTATAGCGTTTCCAAGGAGCGACTGGTGAGTTTGAACTGCCAAACTTATATTTCACAGTCCAGTGATTATCCTACTGTGCCACACAGAGTCCAGGTCTGACATTGTTAAATGCCGTCAAGTCGGTTCCAGCCCATAGCGACTCTGTATAGGGTTTCTGAGGGGCTGCTGGTAAGTTTGAACCATGAACCTTGCGGGTCAAATCGATCTTGCAGTCCAGCGCATTAGCCCACAATGCCACACCAATGTAACCATGATAGAATATCTATAGTTTTAATTCTCACATAAGTGTTTTTTTAAAAAAAGTTTTGTGAATTGAGTGATCATTTACATAGGAACACATCGGTTTTACACTCATCGTTTCATTGCAATGATTACAGTTTCCTCTGTGCATCATTATTCAACAATATTTACTTCTGTGCCCTCTGTTATTTTGGGGGAGGATATACAAAAAAACAGGAACATATAATCATTTAAACAACCAAAGGGCACATTGTGCAAGCCTGCCTCCTGGCCGCCAGCTCACAGCCTTTCTCATTCCATGAGTCTAGAGTCCTCAGCTGCTCTGTTTCTCTGTGTCATCATCTCTGCCTGCATCTTTCATGTCGCTGCTTCTCTGGGTCCCACATTTCGCTAGTGCCCTTCTTCCTTGATATGCTCCTCGGGTCCTTTGTTTCTGGACTATAAGATTACCTACTCCCCCATTTTTATTACAAAACTTCTACCTTTATTGTTCTGATAGTCTCAATTAATCATGATAATAATTATTCACTGTTAAATCATAAGAATCTTATCCCCCATCTCCTTTCACCAGACCTGTGTAGACAAGATGAAAGCTATTCAGTGGGTATTCTATCTTACCTCACATACTCTGAAACTAAACTCCCTCTTGAAAACTTGTAAGCCAGTCACTTCATGCTTTTATAGCCCCCCCCCCACCCCATTTTAGGTAGCCAGTGTCTTAAGTTGTCTGTCTCAATCAACCCTGTATACAGAGTTTTTTTTTTAAGGTTGAGTCTGATTAATAATGTTCCTCCCAATCTCCTTATTTGGGAATCCTGGTGTGGCACTGTGGGTTAATATGTCAGACTGCAAAGCCATTTGAACAGCAAGGTTGGCATTTCAAGCTCACTAGCTGCTCCTTGGAAACCCACCCTACACAGGGTCACTATGAGTCGGAATTGACTCGACAGCACTTAACAATAACAACAACATAATGCTTTGAGCTAACAATGTAACCATGCTATGAGCATTATACTTTCTTCTAAATAAAGAGATTAGGAGGAACATTAATAATCAGACCCAACCTAAAAAAGAAACGAGAACTTATAATATTGTGAGAATTAAACCCACAGGCACTCGTGGTTACATTGTTTGAGTGAGTTTTTGTTATTAAGTGCTGTCAAGTATATTCCACCTCAGTGACCCACCATGTATAGGGTTTCCAGTACTGTTTTAACATCTTCGTGGGAGGCAGAAAGCCTCATCTTTCTCCTGAGGCACTACTGGTGGGCTCGAACAGCTGACCTTGTGGGTTTGTAACCTAGTGCTTATTGTATGGAGCCACTGTGCTCCTATAGAGTGAATAGAATCTCAGAATTTCAGTTTTAGAAAGGATTCATAATTTTGGGGAAAGTGAGATCCCTGCTTTTTAGCTTGTATCAATATGGATCTTGGACTGATTAAAGATTTCAGTGTAAAACAAACCAGACATACACATGTTACATATGCACACATTTCACAGACTATAAAGGTGTTAGAAGAAAACATTGTCATCATGGTATGCTAGCATTAAGTTTAACCAGCTTCAAAGCAGGAAGCCTACTAAATATTGAAAATTTATTTCTTATTAATGTGGAAACATTATGTTTAGCTTTCTAGATTTGATGTTGGCCT